GGGGGGGCGGGAATGAAGAAGCGTGATAGTGATAAATTGTATTTAACTCATTGTAGAAAACCTACTTAAAACGCTATTTTCTGTATTTTTTCACATTGCTGACACATACGTGACAGGAGCACTCATACAAGATTGCCTTTTGCAGTACTATGTATCTCTAAGCAAGAAAAAGCCAATTAGACTAATTTATTGGACTAGTACAGGGACCCCTAACTCCGTGCTGACCAGAGAGATCTTGGCTAACGCAGAGATTCTTAACAAAAGGTAAGGCAGGATGGATGAAAAGCATGTGTGAAAGCAATGTTGAAAACAGACAAGAGTTAACACCACTTGGGGGACACAATTCTTGGTGCTTCTAAGCATCCAAGTATGAGACTATGTGTTAAGTGAAACCTGTGAGGAAATGAATCCATGGGACATTTTTTAAGCATCACTTTATTTTCTGTAACATCTCACACCGAATTTTGTCAAATTCAAGTAGAGCTCACACAGCCAGCCATACCTACTGGTAACTAGTATAAAATCATATCCAAACTAGAAATCTAGATGATAATTGGATAATCATTACTCAGTCAAATCAACAGCCGTTTTGACAGCTTCTTGTAAGTATTTCAAGTCTGATTTTTTTTCCGAATTGCTGTTATGTGATAAATGGTTATCATTTACTAAGATGCATTTACGATCAAGCTGAGGAAGATCTCATGAAGAGCTACCAAGTCAATTCAGTCTACCTTCAGAGTTACAAAAGCCTCTCAGTCAAAAATATTGGCGTTAAAGCCACACCACCGTTTCTGATTTGCTGCAACCCACTTTATTCTGATCGCTTCTGCCAACAGTAGACATTTAACTTAGTGCGATCACGAGCGAACCTGAAAAACCCTACGAGAAACACCCCCCTCAGCAGAGGCGCCCGGGAGCAGCAACGCTCCATGCGATAACATGGCGGGCCCCCAGAGCGGGTCATTGAGCAGGAGGCTGGCGAGTAATCTCGGCACCGTCAGAGGAGTCTTTCAAGTAAAATCAGAGAAGAGAATCTCGGGACGGGGAATTGGAAATAGGGGAGGTCTCGAATGGCGGCTGAGGGGACCCCCGCGCGCGCCGCCATTTCACAACGCTTCACACACACCCCGGTGGCGCGGACGCGGCGCGCATCGAGGTCCCGCGGCCGCCCTCCATCGAGGAGTTCACTATCGTGAAGCCCATCAGCCGCGGCGCCTTCGGCAAGGTTTACCTGGGCCGCAAGGCTGGGCGCCTCTACGCCGTGAAGGTGGGTACTGCGCGCGGGGGAGGGGCCGCGCGCACCGCGCAACGGCTTAGCACTTAAAACTGCGCGCTTTTATGTTTTAACATCATTTTTAGTGCGCGTGTTGTGACCTGAAAGTTTTTGTGCCGGTAATATTGTAATGGTATCTATGTGCATAGCCACAAAATTTAATGTGCACTAAGTGTTTGTACAAGTGAAGCTAACGTTCATAAAATTGCCATTCAATAACTTCTGTACAACTATTTATTTATTTTTATCACTAGCCTTGATAATAGAAGTGGTAGCCACGAACTTGAGTAGAAAAGCTGCATTGCTTTAATGTCACTCTATCGGGATCAAAGGTGTCAGATGCAGATACGCTTCCAATGCCTATACACTCTTGGCTTATTCATATTTCAAATATGCTATTATTTCTGCATTCTGCTTTAAAAATAATATTGAGTAGGCATATAATGAAGCAATTCAATAAAAGAATTGGAGCCTAATTCACAGTTAATAGCTCATCTTCATGAGTTGCCTGCTTTTATTGAAGCTTCTTCCCAAAGAAAACAAATGTTTGAATGAATAATAAAATTTAACAAAAAAATGCTTATTTTCACTGCAAAGTTTACAAATACTTTATGAAGTCTTGCACTTGAGAGATGGTTTAATGTTAGATATTCAGTGGTCAGGGTTATGATGTCCTTGGGTTGGATGAAAAGACTTAGCAACCGTATCTCTAAGCTTGTTTTTGAAGCAGGCATCTTTGTGTACCGGGGGAAGGTGTTTTACCTGGTGCAGTTTGGTATCAGATTCAGCCTGTGTGATCACACAAAATGCGGGTAGGGTGATTTTTCTTAAGGATTGAATTTATTTATTTATTTATTTATTTTTAGGTGGTGAAGAAAGCGGACATGATCAATAAAAACATGGTTCACCAGGTCCAGGCAGAAAGAGATGCATTAGCTCTAAGTAAAAGTCCTTTCATTGTGCACTTATACTACTCACTTCAGTCAGTCAGTAATGTCTATTTGGTGAGTAAATAACCTGTGACGTTTTATGACAGCATAAAAACCGAGTGCAGAGCTATGTATGTCTAAAACAACATTTTAGCTGAACGAGAAATTTGCTCCTTTTCTCCTGGCACCATTGAGGTCTTTGCACCTTGTTTTTTTTTTCTTTAACAGGAGAGTCCTTGCTAACAGCTAGTCTATGTAGGAGCCTTTGGGAAAAAAAAAAAGAAGAAACCATTCTATTCAAGCACATTCTAAATGATTAAAAAGTACCTGTGGTTCACTAATAAGGATTGCTTATTGCCTGTGCTTGAAATATGTTAAAGTAGTTGGGCTAGATGTCAAGAGGCAGAACAGAGGACTAGCCTATGTGGAGTTCTGACTGTGGTTTTATAAGCTGTCTCCACACAAAGGTAGTGATGAGTATGTGGTAAGGCCATCTACAAATGGCCTAGTATAATTTGGCTTGCTAAGAACATTCACATTTGTCATCTTGCATAAATTCTACAATGGAGGCGGCTGAAGTGTACTCTTGCAATGCATTTTGACTAAAAGTGAAGGCTTCCTTTCTTAGAATCTGTCAATTGCCTCTCAGAACACAGGAGGATTTCAGAGTGAAGCATTTTTAGAGGAAGTGTTGACTTGCATGTATTAAACAATTTTGTTTCTCATGATCTAATTACTAGTGAGTTTTTTGACCAGAAACCCCATAAACTCCTCCTACTCCCTGAAAAGTGGATTTTCTTGAAACCTTTTTGTTTGTTTGCTAGACTGTATGCGGGCTTTTCTCTTCTGAGCCGTGACTATGTATTTCCTCATGAATAATTTTTTTAGACATGATAAAATAGCATTAATATTGATTTGACAAGCTCAGATGTTTTAAAGCTTTGCTCCTGGGGCGTTTAATGGACCATTTAATGTGATGTCATTTGGTTTTGCAGACTGAAAGCCTTTTGCATTTAAATTGTGTGTGTGTTTATATACAATTTTTTAATGTTTTATTTGACATCTTATGTGCACAATCATTCTCATCATATAATTTGTTTTTGAAATTTGTAACACTTATTTCATAAAACTCTTGCCTTAATTTACATTAAGCATTGTACTATATATAAACATTTGCAAAATAAAATCACTGATAGCTGCTTTATACAAATTACAGGAGCAGTGGTTTCAGGATGCAGGCCTTGTTTCGTAGAATTGCTTTGTAAATTATTTCCTGCTATAAGGAAATCTTCTCTTTCAGAATTTGCAAGCTAACTGAAAAGCTGACTACAAAAAGTAAGCTAGACAAAGCAAGAAAGTAGATTAGGGGAAAGCATTTCATGACTCTTGTCTTCTGAGGGTTTAATTGTCGTATCAAAATGTGTTAGAAATTAAGTAAGCTGCCACAAGGAAGATTCCAATCAACTCTCTCTTTGAAGTGATGCTTTCTTGGAGGCAGAAACTATTTTACATTTAAAATTTGTAAGTAAATTATATCTGAACAATGAATGCCCCTTGAATGGCAGGTGATGGAATACCTTATTGGTGGAGATGTCAAATCTCTTCTCCATATTTATGGATATTTTGATGAAGAAATGGCTGTAAAGTATATTTCTGAAGCAGCACTGGCTCTCGACTATCTTCACAGGCATGGCATAATCCACAGGTAAAACTCATTTCATTTTCTCACAAAGAAGTATTTGACAGGGTGTTGTTTTAATTTTCTGGAAATAAGAGTATAACTGTTATAAAAATACAGCTTTTTTAATTACTTTTAGTAGTTTTGCCAATTTGCAATACATTTAATTTCTGTAGGATGCATGTGGGAATATTATGAGACAAAAGGCACAATATTTAGTGCTGAATATGCTTAACATTTTTTTGGTATATTTCTCCAATTGGGATCTTCTGTTGGCTAAGAGATTTGAATAAAGAGGATGAAATACATTGTTAAATCTTTGGGACTAAATGTTTCTAGGTATATAATATTCTTAATATCATTTATTTGTCTTTTTGCTGACTTTGAATTATATCTTCAGGGATTTGAAGCCAGACAATATGCTCATTTCTAATCAAGGCCACATAAAGCTGACAGATTTTGGGCTTTCCAGAGTTACTCTGAATAGAGGTAAGATGCATCAGTATTGTAGTGGTTGCATTTATTATAATGTACTTTTATGTGTCATCTTCTAGTATCTTCATGTTTTACGTTCTAGTATCAGACAGTGCCTCCAGTTAAATAAGCCCGAATGCTGTAGAAATATTGATTCTAGGTGGCAATAAGCTATAATAGTGCTTCCTGGTTAAGGAACTGCACTGCACTTTATTTGATAAAGTCTTTATGCTTTGGGGCAAGGATTTAGGAAAAATAATCTGCTTGCATTTCTTTTAGCTGTTATGTATTTCATAATGTCCTAAAGTCCTTTAGGAGAAGGCAAAGAATGAATGGCTAATTCTGGCATTTGTTTGCTGTACCACTGCCTGTTCCTATTCAGGGTCTGGGGGGAGGGATTCTTCCCTATCCTTGTGTAATTAACTTGAACTGGGGCGGTTCAATGAGAGACAGGAGGAGGAAGTGAAAGAAGAGTTAATGAGCCTTGCTGAACAGAAGGTTGCCATTTGCCCTGCTGTTCTCAAGTAGCAGACCATGTAGCTGATGTCAGCTGACTCTCTGGTAGAGGCAACAGGCTGCAGGTCTCAGGGACACCAGCCACTCGCTGAAGAAGTTGTTTCCTCTGACCCCTTAGCAGCCACATCAGCCCAGTTCATGCTGGGCAGCAGAAATTTAGTTATCTAATAAGCATTAGGGGGAACATGTTTTTTTAAATGTGGTCAACCAGGGGAATAGAAAAATTCAGAGTTGTCTGTGGTTTTAAAAATAAAGGCAAAAGTGCTAGGTATGCTGTATTTTCTCTTAGATATTTCTTTAATTGGTTATCTTTTGACAGAACAGCCTATCATGTTTAGCTTAATGTGACAGAGGAAGCTATGAGCCTATCTACCTTCTCCATTGAGCAAAAGATAGCATCTAAAGTTGAATTTTCCTTTATGAAAGGAGAGCTCAGCTTCAGTTACTTTCCAAGACATCCTTGGAAAGAGGTCATGCTATGGACCAAGCATATCACCTTAGATCAATGATCATGGGCTAGAATCTCTTCTTAAATACAAAGAATCTAAAAACTGAAACTGAGTCCAAATAAACAAAAAAATGCATGCATATGTATATATATGTATAAATTACATAATATGCTGGAAAAGAATTTGGATTTCTACTATTTCTGAATTCATAATGTGTTTAGTTATTTATGAAGGCTATATACCAAGATATGGCAGTTATTTAATAGGAATGTACAGATAGGTCTTCATTTGCTTTTAGTGGCCTTTTGCATATATTTGTTCATTATGTCACTAAACCTTTTCTTAAATATTAAGTACATGTTTAATATTAAACTGGTAATAGTAAAAGAAAAAAATGACTACTTCTTTCCCCACAATCTGTTTACAGAGATAAATATGATGGATATCCTCACTACACCATCCATGACAAAGCCAAAACAAGACTATTCACGTACTCCGGGGCAACTGTTATCTCTCATCAGCTCTCTGGGTTTTGTAAGCAATTATTACTTTCTTGGAGAAAACTGGAAGTTTCAAGTACTTCATTATCTTAAAAACCTTATCAGTTCAACTACTGTTTGTTAAATCTCTAGTTTTAGCCTACAGAATGCTTTACAATGCATTTCCAAAACCCTGAAGTTCTGGAGAGATTACCTGGAACTATCCTTCAAACCAATTGTACTTTAAAAAAAAAAAAATCTATATATGGCTATGACTTAGTTCCCGTGCAGATTTAATAAAGAATAAGAAAGTTGCAGTTAATCTTAGATGATTTGCTCAGTTTTTTATTTATTTACAGGTATTTCATTTATATATATATTATTATATATAACTATTATCTGTTTAAACTTTCTTTTTTGCTTGGTAGTATTCTCCTGCTGGAATTGTGGGGCCCAATTCCCATCAAGCTTCTGATGGTCTGCATGGAGTGGTTTCTCCCACATTTATAGCTCAAAAGGAAAATACTCCTCTTTCAGCAAAATTATTCAAAACATGTGAGTAGCCTGAGACAAGTTATCAAGTTACACTCTAAACTATAGATTTTGATTTTTGTTTGCTTTTAACTTATGTGAATGGCTAGGATCACTTGCAAGAGACAGTGCTTCCATCAGTGTCTTGCTGTCTACCAGTCCTTCAATTTTTAAGGTCTGAGTGTTTTTTTCAGAGATTACTGCTCTCCCTTAAAAAAAAAAAAAAAACCCACAACTTTGCAACCAATGAATTCAAAATCGCCCTTTAAGATTTTATGGAAGTAGCAACAGCTCTTGGCATACTTTAACATAGCCACGTATGTCTTCCATTTAAATTCTTATTTTCAAACTGCAAATAAAAAGAAAATTAATGATATATTAATACTAATGTTGTTCTTAAAGCTCTTGTCAAGTCCCTACCTCAAAAAATGAGTGAGCTGATTACGCAGGAAAGATGACAAGAGAAAAATTACTGTATCTCACAGCCTTCCATAATTTGAGTGAAAGCTTGATGTAATGTGAAGCTGGATAATGTATGCTATATATGCTGCTTCTTTGGATCAACATTTGAGTATGTGTGTTTGTTTCCTTTGCAAGGTCTTGATAATTCTGCATTCTCCCCTGGGATGCCGGTGAGAAGTTTAACTCCATCTCTACTGCAGTCAAGGAGGTTTGGTACCTCCAGTGCCGGTACACACGTGTCCAGTATGGAATCCGAATGCTGCAGCAGCCCCAGGTGGGAGAAAGATGTAGAGGTCAGGATTGCTTCATCTTTTTTTTCCACTACATATTAAAATGACCTTGTGCTTATATATATGTTATATGTGCAAGTCTTCACTTTCTCTAGGTATTCCAAAGGTAGAGAAGTCCAACTGCAGGAAAAGAGCTCACTGTAATCCTTGTTGAGTAGGAATATTTTGGATCAAACTGTTGTTTCTACCTTCCTTCTTCTTTCTCCCCTTCCCTGTCATCCCAAGGAAAAAGTAATAGTAGTCATACACAATAGGAGAGCAAATGTCACCTGGCCTGCAGGAAAGTGGGGGGAAGTGAAGGCTGCTCCTTGGTTTAGCCTTATTCCCCACAGGACGCGCAATACTGGGAGCAGTCGTGTGTGTGTGTCTTAAAGTCAAATTACCAGACTTGCTCCATAATTTAATTTTTGCTTTTTATGGAATGTGTCATTTATTAATCACTACTACTGCTTAGAAAGAATAAGTAATGTTTTCTAACTGCAATTATTTATTGAAATGGAAAGAAGGTATTTTCAAGGGCGTATTTGTGTAAAGCTGTGATCATATTTTTCTGCTGAGTTGATACTCAACTTTTAATGTTTTTGTTTTCAGCAAACTGAAGATGAATTGTGTTCTACAACAGGCAATGCAAATAACAGCGAGCCAACTCTCTCTTCTAATGTGCAATTACTGAATGGCAAAGATATTAAAGAGTTAAAGAAAAAAGAACTGGAGTCGGCCATTTCTCCCATCAGTAGCAATGATTCTGGCAGCAGGCAGAAATTAGTGCCAGGATGTTCTGATGTGATGGGTACTCCTGTAACTGCACCGGATGTGAAAGGCATAGTCAGAAAATGTCTCTCTGAAAATAAGATTTGGGAAGAAAAACTTAACACGAATAAAAATTATACGACTAATGAAAGAACAGAAACTTTGGATCACCAGCAGTCACCTTCACTGCTGAAAGATCCTCTCAAGTCTAGCAAAGAGGAAGAAATTTTTGAAAAACCAGGTGTAAAAAGAAGCTTTGAACTAGTTGATACTAGTCCTTGTCAGGATCTTAACTATGTTAAAAAAAGCAATGCAGAATATAAACGTGGCTGTCACATCTCAGAATTTCAGGTAAATCAAAGGTCAGGTTTGACAACAGAAATTCAGTCTTTAAGGCTTCGTGATGAGCTACAAGAGACGTGCAAAAGCAAGGAACAAATTAAGGGCGCTATTGGTAGGCAGCAAACACTGGATAAATCAGTTACTCCACTAATAGCTAAAAATCTTATGTGTGACCTGGATGCAGACTGTGACAAGAATGATAAGAAGGAGTATATGAACTCTAGTTTCTTAGGCATGGATGATGAAAAGCCTCTAGGAATCCTCAGTGCAGACTCTGATTTGTCCTTTCCTGAAATGTCTGTTACAGAGACCCATTTAGAAAAGCAGCTCTTAGATTTGGATAAAAGTGTTAAAGACATCTCCTTTGAAGAACCAAAACCTGAAGATGTGCTACCAACATCTCCAAACTTGCAAGGTGCTTCACAAAATGGAGAAGAGCATGTTGTCCAGGATTGCAGGTTGTTGCATCATGCACAGGATAATGACCAAAAACATGCGACAGAAACTCACCTGGAGACAGTGTCTTCTCCTTCAGAAAACATGGTGAAAACAGTGAACCTCTTCAAAAGAAATGCTGTTGCTTTCCGAAGTTACAACAGTCCTATTAATGTATCCAATGCATCTGAGCCATGTAGTATGGCTTCCTTGGATATGATGGATTTTTCACCTGCTTGTAGTGGATCTTACCCCGCAGCTATCACTCCATTACAGAAAGGAAGACCTCATAGGGTGTATCAGGTCTGTAATGAGGCGTGCAGAAAATCTCTGTACATTAAGTAGTAATGATATGAAATTCTCCTCTTGCTTGGTTACTTAGAAAAGTGAGTGGTCACTAGTCTGTCAAAAATGACTTGCACTGGCAGGCTTGGGCTTGCTGCGTTTGTGTAGCCAAAACTGTTTTCAGTAAGAGCTTAGCAATACCTGCTGTTTGCCTCTGGTTCCGCGAGCAGCTGCTTAGGCTGCCTCTTACAGAAGTCCTTTGCTTTTACTGTGAACAGGTAAAGAAACCCAGTGTTTTGTCACAACCTATTTCTGGCACAGTGTTACTTCCTGAGGGTTATTTTAGATTTTCTGATGAAATGGAATGTCTTTCACTTATCTTCCTGAATCCTAGTGCGGTCTGTGAAAGCTTTTGGATTGCTGGTAACCCATTTTCTGCCTGCTCTGTGTGTGTAGGTGTTTCCTTTGGGTAGAATTGCTGCTGTGATGGGTGCTGCCAAGTGCCCCTTACAAGCAGATCATGAAGACTGATGCAAGCAGTAGCAGCTGCCAGTATGCTCTGAAGATTTTGCTTTAGTGTTTGTCATATTAATAATAAATAAAATCCTACTGTTTTAAAATAAATTGGACCCCTAGATGTGAGGCAGGTATAGGTGTACTTTACAATCTATGCTTACTGTTTTATTCTAGTATAGATTTACAAAATGTTTGTCCAGTTGCTTGAGTTTGAGTTGTAGGATTTAAAGCTGTTAGAGAAAACGCTGAACGCTTTTTAGTACCTAAGTGAATAATTTAATGTACCAAAAGGAGACATTCAGAGCAGTATTTTGGGAAAAGTCTTTTTTTTTCTTTTTATTTTTTTTCTTTTTTTTTCCTTCTGATGGCCTTGTCTCAATTGCTTGCTTATATTCACCATAACATTTTATTCACTATAAAACTTGCATTCAGCTGAAACAGCGTCGGGATTAACATGCACTTCATCTGCTGTTAAATGGATAAATGACTGATGGCATTAAAGTATATAAAAAGCTACCTTCCTATTTAAGTTTGAAGTTGGAAGTATTTAAGAGTGTCACAAAATAGTACCATGGTAGATAATTACATATTTACTATTTCACTAGTGAATTCTGCAGCCTGTATTAGGAATTGTGATAACACATTGATCTGTTGAATTGAAGACAAAGTTTAAAAAACAAACTGTACCCAGATCCTCTCTTTGTCTTTCAGCATACCTTTGAATCCAATGCAACTGCTAAATATTTTAATTGCATCTGTTTGCCATAATGGGAAATTCTACATTGCAGTCAGCCTATTAACAGTGAGAATTTTTTGATTCACTTGCAGCTTTGCCTGTGTTGTCTTCAAATTTTATACCTGATTACTTTCTGAAGGCTACTGTGTAGTTGTAAACAGCAGCGTAAGTCTAAATGGGCAGAATTTCATTGAAAGTCATTATGCAACTCCCAGAACACAGCATAGATATCACAAAGCTCGTTCAATATCTGTTGAGTATATTTTATAGGCAGTGAATGATATTCAGGCTTCTCCTTATTTTACGATCATAGTTTGACACAATATACTTGCTTTATATTGGCTAATATTGAGAACTTGATGCTAAAATTAAGTCTATTTTGGTGTTCCGTTCTTTTTAGTAAACAAGTTTTTTTTTCCCTTTCCTCTCTCCCTGATTCCAAGTTAGAAGGGAATGTTGTGTGCTTTCTTTAAGACATGAATTGCATGTTTATAGTAGGCATCATTTACCCTCAGGCTAATGAGGTAGATGGAATCACAATTCATACGTGCTTGGGAATGTACATTTTTGTAACACGCTGCTGACTTTAACTTAAGTCTCAACTGTCCCTGTGCCATTAGGGGATGGGGCAGGGGTTTGGAGAATAGGTCTGGTTTGATTTGACATCTGAAGTCTTTCTTTGCATGCCCGAAGACACCTCATCAGGGAGACGCTGGCACACCGTACAGGACCCCAAAAAGCGTAAGAAGAGGAGCTGCACCTGTAGAAGGTGAACGTATCTTGGGGACTCCAGACTACCTGGCACCCGAGCTGCTTTTGACAAAGCCTCATGGTAAGCAATGCAAACTCTTTGAGTTACAAATACTTGTGGGGGGACAGTGTCTTTAGAGTACTTTAAAACCTCAATTAGTTTTTTTGTTTGTTTATTTTTTGTTTTTTTCTTTTAATATCTAGAGCTTAGTGTCTGCCAATACTACCTGTTCCAGTACTGTGTTTGCCAATGCTGATAACTCAGTAGCTCCTTAAATTTTATTTTTGCCCATAACCAGAGGCTTAGGCTGTCTGACATAATCTTTCCTGACACTAATTTGATGTATCGGAAACCTCAAACTTAGGCAGTGTGACGCATCTGCATGGCTTTGGAGTCACAACTTGGCCATTCTGTGTGTTCTTAGAATTTTCTTTTTGTAACTTAGTCAAATTAGTATAAAAGGATCATGTTTCCAATTGTCAAGCAAAATGTATTCCACATTTATTGATATGGAAACACTATGTGCAGTCAACCCAGTTTACAAAATTGCCTTAAAATCAGTTCTTGAAATTATTTTATGAATTCTATTTAGTACTGTGACAGGATCTCTCATCTAATGAACAATACTAGCAATCAAGTATTTCTTTCTCAGCACAAGTACATAAATTTTGTAATTTCTGCATAAAAAAACTACTGAGGTCAACAAAAAGGCTGAAATATTTTCCTGCTAATTTCAAAAAAAATCAATGACAGAGTAAGCTTGTTATATTTACGATCTCACTTTTTGCATTGCAAAAAGTATGCTTGTAGGTAATCTGTGTGTTGGTAATTTATATTTGTATTGGTAATTTGTTTTGGCAGTAGTTTTACTGATTATGTTGTACTACCTATGTACTATTATTGAATCTTCTTTGAGAAATGGGAAGATCACTGATCTGGGAAATGGGAGAGCTCTGCTGTGTATAACTAAGGTTAGCTAAAACTGCATTAATATATTTAAAACTTGAATGTGACAACTAAAGTAGTTTGACTATTGTTTAAAATTTTCATTGAGGAATCTTGGATATTTGGCAGACATGAAAACTTGATAACGCAATGTAATCAATCCTATGCAGAGAATAAAAACTTAGTTTCAAAACAATTTTCATGCAATTATATTTTCAGGACTTCAGTTATAATTTCAAAGGATTTGCAGATTCCTTTGAATAAATAACAAATTTCCTATTAACTTCAGTGCAGCCAGGATTTTCTGGAATTGAAACTTAAAACTTGTATTCACTAAATACTTCTGAAGTCATTAACTTGCTTATAAATGTAGCTGTAATATTAAAATAGTTTTGTGACGTTATGAGAACTTATTCCTGTTTGTAACTTATATTTAACATTAATGTTTTATCTTATTGCTGAGCTACCAGCTTAAAGTCTTCATTCCTATGCCTTCACTCAGAAAATTGTACCTAAAATATTTACTGGTGTTTAGATTTATTAGGCTGTTTGCAGTAATTGTAATGTACTTTGTTATCTTTTCATATGCAGGATCTATGACCTCTGGTGAGTTTGCTTTGTGCTATATAGAAAAGGCGTGTTCAGCAGAACTATGAACAGTCAAAGTATAATTAGATCACAATTTCCAAGAAAAAAAAGTTTGATTAATGCTGTTTTGTATATGGAAGTGTATGCCCAGTATGTGCAGCACATAACGTGTGATGCTTCCAAAAAATGCAGGAAGCTTCAGTATCTCTGTGACTAGGCTATCAGGAGTCACACACTTGAGCTCATGCTTCAGGAGAAAAGTCAGCATGTGCTGCTCTTGGTGACTTTTTGTAACAGGAAATAAACCAGAGACATTTTTCTTATTACTTTCTTTCATGTTTATGCAGTCAGTTGGAATCAGTTTGTACATGTAACAGAAGATTCCAATGTGTGAGACCAATGTGAGACTATTTCTGTTTCTTGCTTCATGTTAATAGATGGGGAGAGGGGGCAGGGTAGGATTTAGTGTTAATTAGAGTTTAAGGGGGGAAGTTTCTGCTGAAACCTGTTACACTACTTGGTTTGGAGTTGTGATCTTCTTAGACTTTGCTAAAGCTGAGAATATTTTGTCTAAGCATCCAAGTATATCTAACAATAGTGGATGTGACCTCACTGATTTGAAATGCTTAGCTTGGTGGGATGTTCTTACTGCTGTAACACACTGCTTTAAAAGTGTGTTGGATTATTTTTAGTTGCAGTTGTATAGCTCCGTTTCCAGACATTCTGGGATTTAGTCAAATGGGCTTTTTGAAATGACTGAAAAATTTACTTTTTTATGTTAAAGTGACTTAAAAGGCGACTTAAAGCTTTTTTATATTTTTGTTTGTAATATCTGTACACATAAGCAAAGAAAAATATTATATCTATTTTTTTTGCAGAAAGTGTCATTCATTCTTTATACAGTGGAGGTAGCATGGCTTAAAGATGCAGAAAGCTTAGAGTGCATGTGGTAGTGTTTGGGGTTGCTCTGCCTGCTTGTTTATAAGTGGATTAATAAGATTGGGCAAAAACTGGAACCTGGGGAAGCAAAGCTACTTAAAGGCAAGAAAGTTTGTGACTGCACACTGTAGCTACAGGGACTGCACAAATCAACTTGAATGCAATGGAGAGTAATGCCAGTTCCTCACATGATGGTTTGTCTCCACCAGCTGTCCTCAATATTTTGGCATAGATTTTGGATGAATGAAAATCAAAGTTCAAAAGCTTGAGTTCTTGGAGCCTTGTCAAAGAAATGAGAGAAAGGAATGGGATTGTATCACGGAGCATTCACCTGAACTCTAGTGATGTTCAAGTGTTCAGTGCACAGAACAAGCTCTTAGAGAAGGCCACCTGTGAATCCTTTCTGGCAGGTGTTGATAACCCTGGGACTATAATGAATAAAGGAGCAGACTAGGGGAGTGGGTGGAAAAAGCCCTTATATATCTTTAATCCTAAGAATGAGTATTAAGTAAAACTTTTCTTTTTAGAGTTTTTAAATTTTTTTTTTTTGCTATGCTTAGTCTTCTAATATTTGCAAATACCATTATGTGTGGCAAATACAAAGTTTATTAAGCAGCTTCATTTTATTTAATGGCCTGAATTTCTCCTATTCAGGTTCTGCTGTCGACTGGTGGGCCCTTGGAGTTTGCCTGTTTGAGTTTCTAACTGGAATTCCACCTTTTAATGATGAAACACCAACACAGGTCTTCCAAAATATTTTAAAAAGAGGTAATCTGTTTTAGTACTTGGGGAAGCATCTTCGTAACAAAGTTCGTTGCATGGTTTGAGTTACTGGCTCATTTGCATCTTTGCTCACAGATATTCCCTGGCCAGAGGGTGAAGAAAAGCTCTCTGAAAATGCCCAAAATGCAATAGATATTCTTTTAACAATTGACAGTGCCAAGAGAGCTGGACTGAAAGGTTAGTATTGAACTTATTTCTTGTGTTCTTTACACATGAAAGCATCCTCCTCCTAAAACTTAGACTAATAAATGTTAATGCCTGTTTAGGCTCCATATACAGTGTCAGCCTGTTTAGGGAGTTATTCAACTTCCTGTGCTTCTTGTGACAAGGTTTTACTTTTCCTCTTTCGGCAGATAATGAACTTTCTTTACCTTAATGCTTTTTGCTATGAACGTTTAGTATCTGACATACCAAAGTCCACTATTAACAAATTACTACAGCAGGCATTTGGGGAATCTTGGTATAATTAATTTTAGGCATGTAATCAAGGTCTCTGTGGCTTGGAGAGAAATCATCCTGAAGAAGAGAAATCAAAGGAACTATTTGAGGAATCTGTATTTCTACACTGTATAGAGAACATGGAGTTAAACAGTGGGAGCACTTTACAAAGTGTCTGTGTGTACGTATTTCCCTTGTAGAGGGACTTAAGCTCCCTTGCCCTCATAGTAGGGACTATATTTCATGCAGTTTGATAGCATGGAAGAAAACTTACTGCATGAGATTTCTCCCTGTTTTTCCAATCTTTGAGAAACCTGCCCAAGAGATCATTGAACAAGGAAATTATTATGCAAGTGATTACTCATGAAGAGTAAGCAGGAGGAACTGGAGCTCTGTGTGCGGTCCCAGTGTCATGATCTCATTGGAATCAGAGACATGGTGGGATAGCTCACAGGACTGGAGCGCTGCCATGGAAGGCTGTGTGCTCTTTAGGAAGGACAGGCTAGGAAGGCGAGGTGGTGGAGTTGCTCTTTATGTGAGAGCAACTGGAATGCATGGAGTTCAACCTGGGGGTGGATGATGAGTGAATTGAGAGCTTGTGGGTAAGGGTGAAAGGGCAGGCTAATGTGGGAGACACTGTGGTGGGTGTCTGCTACAGGCCACCTGACCAGGACGAGGAAGTTGATGAGGCCTTCTATAGTCAGCTGGATGTTGCCTCATGGTCACAGGCCCTGGTTGTCAAGGAGGGCTTCAACTACCCTGACGTCAACTGGAAGGATAGCACAGGCAGGCACAAACAGTTCTGGAGGTTCCTGCAGTGCACTGATGATAACTTTTTGATGCAGGTTGTGGAGGAGCCGACGAGGAGAGGTGGGCTACTGGACCTCGTACTATCAAATAGAGAGGGACTTGTAGGAGATGTTAAGGTGGTGAGTAGCCTCGGCTGCAGTGACCATGAGTTGGTGGAGTTCAGGATCCAGCGAGGAGAGGGCAGGGCTGTAAGTAGCCTTGCAACGA